GGATGTGTAATGTCACCATGGTTGTTTTTAATATAGTATTTATAGATGGTTGTTAAGGAAGTAAATGCTAGGGTGTTCGGGAGAGGGGTGGATTAAATTTTGGGGGAAGCAAATGCCCCAAAATGGGAATTGACACAGTTACTTTTTGCTGATGATTACTGTGCTTATGGGCGATTCTAAAGAAAATTTACAAGGTTAGTGGATGAGTTTGGGAATGTGTGTTAAAGGTTAGAAAGTTGAAAAGGGAACATAGAAAAGGAGTTAGTAAGGTGATGCGGGTATCAAATGATTTAGATAAAGAATAATTGGATATCAAAATTGGGGAGGTGGAGTATGGAAGATGTGAATGTTTCAGATACTTGGGAGCTGACGTGTCGGCGGATGGATTTATGAAGGATGAGGTTAATATAGAATTGATGAGGAAAAAGGTGTGTGGTTGCGTTGGGCTATATGTTGGAGTCAAAAAACGTTACTATGGAGGCAAAGAAGGAATGTTTGAACGTATAGTAGTACCAACACTCTTATATGGGTGTGAAGCCTGGGTGGTAAATTTGCAGCAGCGAGGGAAGTTGGAGGCAGTGGAGATGTCCTGTTAAAGGGCATGTGTGGTGTAAATATTATGCCAGAAAATGCGGAGTGTGGAAATTAGGAAAAGGTTTGTGGAGTTAATAAAAGTATTAGTCAGAGGCAGAAGACGAGGTTGTTGAGGTGGTTTTTTTTGGCATTAGAGAAGAATGGATCAATGTAGGAATGGACATGGAAAGCATATAAATCTAGAGGGTAAGGAAGGCGGGGTGGGGTTGTCCTCAAAAGGGTGGAGAGAGGGGGTAGGAGGTTGTGTGGGCAAGGGGCTTGTGGACTTCAGGCAAGCAGTGCGTGACGCGTGTTAGATAGGAGTGGAATGGGCGAATGGTACTTGGACCTGACGATCTGTTGGAGTGTGAGCAGGGTAATATTTAGTGAAGGGATTCAGGAAGCGGTTTATTTTCATATAGTCGGACTTGAGTCCTGGGAAATGGGGAAGTACATGCTGCACTCTAAGGAGGGGTTTCGGGATATTAGCAGTTTGGAGGGATCTGTTGTGTCTCTTTATACGTATATGTTCTAAACTGTTGTTGCTCGAGCACAGCTGCAAAAAACGTGATTAAGTGTGAGTGAGGTGATAAAGTGTTGAATGATGTTTGAAAGTATTTTCTTTTTGGGGATTTCTTTCTTTTTGGGTCACCCTGCCTCTGTGGGAGCGGCGCCCGCCCGGGGACTTGTTGAAAAAAAAAAAAAAATTTGGTTGTGAAACAAAAGAAGTAAATGATAGGGTGTTGGAAGAGGGGTATGATTACATTATGGGGAATCAAATTCCAAAAATGGAATTGACACAGTTGCTTTTTGCTTTTGATTCTGTGCTCATGGGAGAATCTAAAAGAAAAAACTGCCAACGGTTAGTGGATGAGTTTGAGGTGTGTTGTAAAGGTAGAAAGTTGAAGTGAACATAGAAAAAGAGTAAGTGCTGAGGGTATCAAGTGATTTAGATAAGAAAATTGGTATCAAATTGGGAGGGAGTTATGGAAGAAGTGAATGTTTTCAGATATTTGGGAGTTGAGGTGTCGGTGGTGGATTTAGGAAGGGATGAGGTTAATCATAGAATTGATGAAGGAAAAATGGTGAGGGGTGCATTGAGGTATATGTGGAGACAAAAACGTTATCTATGGAGGCAAGAAGAGAATGTATGAAAGTACGGGGGACCCCCGCATAGCAACCTTAAATCCATGCAATGAGGGCTGGTTGTATGCGAAATGTTCGGTATGCGTATAAATTTTCCCCATAAGAAATAATGGTAATCAAATTAATCCGTGCAAGACGCCCAAAAAGTATGAAAATTTTTTTTTTTTACCACATGAAATGTTAATTTTAATACACACAAACTGAAAAAGGCATGCACAAATTACATGACACTTACTTTTATTGAGATCTGTGATGATTGATGGGTTGGGAGGTTGGGGGGAGAGAGAGTGTTTGTTTTAGAAGGGGAATCCCACTTCCTTAAGACTTGAGGTGTGAGTCCTTTTCTGGGGTTAACTTCCTTTCTTCTTTTATGCCATAGGACAGCTTCAGTGTCACTGGACTTCGTTAGCACATCATATCTGTCATAGTGGCCTGTTCCTCTCGTTCCTTTATGACTTCCTAAAGTGTTCACTACATTGTCAGTGTAATAGTCACCAGAGCAAGCTTTGCAATAGCTGTGGGAGGGTGATTTTCATCCATTGAAGGTTTGCTCTAGCCATTTGCACAGATTTCCTTAGTCTTTTGTAGTAGGCAATTTCTTCAATTTTCTTCCCCTCTTCGAACCAGTTTCCTCAGGTCTGGCTCTTGCTGTTGAAGTTGATCGATCAGCTCATCAGTGAGTTAGTTCTTCATTGTCCTCCCCACCAACTCTTCCACATTCATCCCCACTAACCTACCAACCCTAGGACTTTCCCAATTCCACAATGGATTCCTCAACTGCATAATCCTCTCAGGTTAGCCTCCACACCTTCCAATTCCCTTTTGTCTACACATTCTCGGCCAAACAGTTTCTTCCAACGTGAGAGTTCAAGTTTCTTTGTCTCTCCCTCCCATGCCTTACTATAAGGTTTACCACATTTGAGGATATTAAAGTGATCTCTCAAAGTCTCTTAGAGTCAGTTGAGTTTCTGAGGTCACTACAAAAGCACCTTTTCATAACAGGAGCTTTTGTGTACAGTTTTTGAAGGTTTGCAATACCTGCTGGTTCCATGGCTGCAGGAGAGAGTGGTATTAGGGAGGCACAAACTTCACGTTAATGAAATTCAGTCCCCATAAAGTCGCTTGCACGTCTGTAGGATGACCAGGGCATTGTCTAACACCAGGAGACATTATGTTCTAAATTCTTTTCAGTTAGGTAATTTTACATTGGGGCAAATGCATGGTGTTACCAGTCATAGAAAGTCCCTAGTGGACCCCATGCCTTTACTGTTTTGCCCTCCACAGCACACACAAATTCTCCTGGAGGACATTCTTTTGCCTAGAGAACGGTCTGGGAGTTTCAGGAGTGATACGCTAATAAGTAGGCTTCACTTTGCAATCCCCAGTAGCATTGGCACACATCAACAGAGTAAGGACTGTCTTTCATAGGCTTAATGTCCTGGGAGTGCCTTTTCTCCTTAGTAATGGTAGGACCTGCTTGGCATTTTTTCCCCCCCCCCCCCCCCCCAAAAACAGGCTGTTTCATCACAATTAAACACTTGTTCAGATTTCAGTCCTTCACTTTTCTATGTACTCCTTGACTTCTGCACATATTTTTCAGCTGCTTTGTGGTCGAAACTGGCAGTCTCACCATGCCTTATCACATTAGGTATGCATACGATTCTTTTATCTCTCAAACCAACCTTTGCTGGCCTTAAATTCACTCACATCAATCACTAGTTGCAGGCATTTTTTAATTAAAATCCTCATGCAACTTCCTAGCCTTTTCGACTTTATGATCGCTTCAGAGACGCTTCTCCTGCTAGGCTGTTTTCATTTATCCACACCAATAAGGTTCTCTCAACATCTTCCATCACTTGCGATCTCGTTTCGAAAACAAGTTAAACCTTTGGCAAGAAAACAGCTTCCTTGATTGCTTTCTGTTGCCCCACAATAGTAGAGCTGTTGATTTGGGTTTCTTGTTACAACTGACCAGGTCGGCGACACGCACTCCACTTTCATACTTTCACTGATCTCCTTTTCTTCTCTCTATTGGAATTCTACCCTTATTGCTGTAGGGTTGTACTAGAAGCTTTCTTGGGGGGCCCATGGTCACTATTTTCAGATAAAGCACGAAAACACTTAATAATAGGAATATTCCGATTGTATTGCTTGGATGTTTACCGCGGAGGCTGGACTGTGAAAAAACAATGCCACGGCCGGGAACATTATGAGGCTGGCTAGGCGCACATTGGGACGCGTCTCGGACGAAGGTGCGTGAGGGGTTTTGGGCGGTATGCGAGGCCATAATTTTAGCAATCAATAGCGTCGGTTTGCGGATTTGTACGCGTATGCAATGCGTTTACGGTATGGGGCGGGTTCACTGTTAGTAGTACCAACACTCTTAAATGGGTGTTGAAGCTACGGGTTTTAATGCAGCAGTGAGGAGGCGGTTGGAGGCAGTGGAGATGTCCTGTTAAGGGCATTGTGTGGTGTAAATATTATGCAGAAAATTAGTGAGTGTGGACCTTAGGAAAAGGCTGTGAAGTTAATAAAAGTATTAGTCAGGGGCCTGAAGAGGGGTTATTGAGTGGTTTGGTCATTTTAGAGAGATTGGATCAAAGTAGAATGACATGGAGAGCATTTTAAATCTGTAGTGGTTAAGGAAGGTGGGGCAGGGGTTCGTCCTCGAAAGGTTGGAAGGAAGGGGTAAGGGAGGTTTTGGTGGGCGAGGGGCTTGGACTTCCAGGCAGGCTGTGCATGAGGTGTTTCGATAGGAGTCAATGGAAGACGAATGGTATTTGGGACTGACGAGTGTTGGAGTGTGAGCGGGTTAATATTAGTGAAGGATTCAGGGAAATATGGTTATTTTTATTATAGCCAGACTTGAGTCCTGGGAAATGGGAAGTACAATGCTGCACTCTAAAAGAGGGGTTTCGGGAGTTAGCAGTTTGGAGGGATATGTTGTGTATCTTTATACGTATATGCTTTAAACTGTTGTGCTCGAGAACATCTGCAAAAAACAGTGATTATATGTGAGTGAGGTGAAAGAGTTGCAATGATGATGAAAAGTATTTTCTTTTTGGGGATTTTCTTCTTTTTGGTTCACCCTGCCTCAGTGGGAGACGGCCGACTTGTTAAAAATATATATATACACACACACATTACACACACACATACATACATACATACACCACCACACACACACACACACACACACACACACCACACAACCACACACACACACACACACACACACACACTGTGTAAGTCAATCATTACAGTACTGCATAGTGAATTACCATCACCACTCTTGAAGATGATGCCATGTGACAAGGAGTAGAGAGGGGCCATTGGCTCTGGGTTATCCCAGGCCAAGAAGAGAGGGACGCGGCAGAGTCCAGCACCGGCATTCAGAGACTCTGAGGCGACCCAGCGAGTGGCTGGATTGAGAGGTGAAGTTAAGTGCTGTAAACTGTTGCAATATTCAGACTCAGCCAGCTGCTCCCTCAGGTACTGAAAGTTATGTGGAAAAAAGTTTACATTCTACACCCACCACAATAAAAAGAAAATTAATGCAGATTCAACAGCATTATTCAGACTTAAGGTAAATTAATAAAATAATTATTATTATTTTTTTATTATCACACTGGCCGATTCCCACCAAGGCAGGGTGGCCCGAAAAAAGAAAAACTTTCACCATCATTTACTCCATCACTGTCTTGCCAGAAGGGTGCTTTACACTACAGTTTTTAATCTGCAACATTAACACCCCTCCTTCAGAGTGCAGGCACTGTACTTCCCATCTCCAGGACTCAAGTCCGGCCTGCCGGTTTCCCTGAACCCCTTCATAAATGTTACTTTGCTCACACTCCAACAGCATGTCAAGTATTAAAAAGCATTTGTCTCCATTCACTCCCATCAAACACGCTCACGCATGCCCGCTGGAAGTCCAAGCCCCTCGCACACAAAACCTCCTTTACCCCCTCCCTCCAACCTTTCCTAGGCCGACCCCTACCCCGCCTTCCTTCCACTACAGACTGATACACTCTTGAAGTCATTCTGTTTTGCTCCATTCTCTCTACATGTCCGAACCACCTCAACAACCCTTCCTCAGCCCTCTGGACAACAGTTTTGGTAATCCCGCACTTCCAAACTACGAATTCTCCGCATTATATTCACTCCACACATTGCCCTCAGACATAACACCTCCACTGCCTCCAGCCTTCTCCTCGCTGCAACATTCATCACCCATGCTTCACACCCATATAAGAGCATTGGTAAAACTATACTCTCATACATTCCCCTCTTTGCCTCCAAGGACAAAGTTCTTTGTCTCCACAGACTCCTAAGTGCACCACTCACCCTTTTCCCCTCATCAATTCTATGATTCACCTCATCTTTCATAGACCCATCCGCTGACACGTCCACTCCCAAATATCTGAATACATTCACCTCCTCCATACTCTCTCCCTCCAATCTGATACCCAGTCTTTCATCACCTAATCTTTTTGTTATCCTCATAACCTTACTCTTTCCTGTATTCACTTTTAATTTTCTTCTTTTGCATACCCTACCAAAATCATCCACCAACCTCTGCAACTTCTCTTCAGAATCTCCCAAGAGCACAGTGTCATCAGCAGAGAGCAACTGTGACAACTCCCACTTTATGTACGATTCTTTATCTTTTAACTCCACGCCTCTTGCCAAGACCCTCGCATTTACTTCTCTTACAACCTCATCTATAAATATATTAAACACCCACGGTGACATCACACATCCTTGTCTAAGGCCTACTTTTACTGGGAAATAATCTCCCTCTTTCCTACATACTCTAACTTGAGCCTCACTATCCTCATAAAAACTCTTCACTGCTTTCAGTAACCTACCTCCTACACCATACACCTGCAACATTGCCCCCCTATCCACCCTGCCATACGCCTTTTCCAAATCCATAAATGCCACAAAGACCTCTTTGGCCTTTATCAAAATCGTTCACTTAATGTTTCACTGTAACACCGGGTCACACACCCCCTACCTTTTCCCAAAAACCCCCCTTGTCATCTGCTATCCTATTCCCCTTTTACTTTTAATTCTTTCAAAAAAAACTCACCATAACTTTCCCAGGTACAGTGGCCCCCCGCATAACGATTACCTCCGAATGGACCAATTATGTAAGTGTTTTTATGTAAGTCGTTTGTACTGTATTTTGGGGGTCTGAAATGGACAATTATTTCACAATTTTTCTTAGGGGAAAAAATTCGGTCTACGTCACCTGAACTATTCGGGAGTGAAAAAATATCTTTAAACCCGGGGGGTCCACTGATTCAACAGATTTATCCCCCTAAAATTTTTGCACCCCCCTTTTGCCCCCTTTGGGCCCTTTTTAACAGGAACTTGATGTCTCTGCCAATCCCAGGACCTTTCCCCTTCCCCTACATTTATTAAAAATTCACCAACCACTCCAAAACTATATCCCCCCTGCTTTTAAATTTTATCTTTTTCCCATCAATCCCCGGGTGCCTTAAAACCCCCTTTTATTTTACCTCTGCCTCAAACTTCCCCCCCACTCACAACTGGCCCTTCCCCCTCCCCACAAGATGTTTTTCCTCCCTTTCCCCATACACGAAATCACAGCTTCCCATCTTCACAAATTTATTTTTATTATTATTACATAATTGTCATTACATAATTATTATTACTTTATAATTACTATAATTTTATATTTTAATACATTCAAATTTTTATTACTATTATAAATATTTTACTATTATAATTATTATTATATTCAAGGGAAAGCACTGAGCTCCTAGGGGTCATAAAATGCCTGGGGAATGGGAGACAATCAGCTCTGGTTTGATGAAGGGAAGGTAACTCCATTTCCTAGAATCAAACCTGACTGCCATCCATTCTCAAAGGAATTGGTAATGAAAATAAGGCTCGGCAAACATAATTAGGTCACACCTTATTGTCACCATGGTCTTTAGCAGCTTCTGCTAAGCGGGTCAACTTGTCCACCACTTCTACTTGTCGAACAATGAGCCTCAGGCCCGGGCCGAGACCACGGCAGTAAGCCTCAAGGATGGCCAGGCTGTGCAGACTGCCCGGCCATGAATGCACATCCGATCTGATAAAAAAAATTCTTTGTGTAAAACAATAAAATGTAGTTTTTTTTTTTTTCAATGAACTGGTCATATCCCACCTAAGCAGGGTGACCTAAAAAGAAAAATGAAAGTTTTTCTTTCAAAATTTAATAATAAATTTTGGTTTACATGTAATAAAATATTGTGAAACACAAAGAAAGCCACTAACATGTATGGGAATGCACAAAGTTGTGCTTAATCAAATTTTCTTTTTCTCTCTACTGTATTTTCCAGCACATAAGGTGCACGAGTATATAAGACGACGTTCCCAAACAGTTGTAACAAAATGTTAGTAAAGTGTAATCCAAAAGCCTGCCCTTGACCCTGACCTTGAGCATATAAGGCACAGGTTGATTTTCCAACACTTTATATGGGGAAAAGTAGCATGCCTTATATGCAGGAAAATATGATAATTAGCAATATTTGAAGAATTAGGCATGTGTGCAATATCTGGTTATGATTATTTGTACAAAAAAAGATACCAAGATTTTGCACGTGTCTAATTCTTCATCTTGTCGTTATTGTATACATTCATGTATAAATGGAAAGTACAATGCCTGCACTTTAACCCTTTGACTGTTGCAACCCCAAATCCTGAAGTGTCTCTGTATGTTGCAAAATATTCGAAAAAAAAAAAAAAATTCTAACCAAAATGTTAAGATTAATTTGGTGACTTTTTAACCCCCAAACGGTCCAAAGGTATATATACGTTCTTACCGCTAGCACCCAAAACATAAATATACGTTTTAATTTTCCTGCCTTCAAATTTGGCACGATTGGCCTGAGATGCTTGGTCAGCAAATAATGGGTCTTAACACTCGGTGTGCACCATATTAAAAATGTCTGGGACCTCTTAGTACCTTGTGGGAGCATGAGTTAAACTGAGCGCCAGCTCAAGCAAACAGTGTGGCAAACACCAAGGATTCACTGATGTAATGTCATATTAACACTCCCCTTTTAAGAGGAAAGTGATGTTAACCCCAAGTTTAGGGTCTGTATCTCTATCTCTGTCTATTTGTCTCTGTATATCTGTCTCTGTCTATCTATCTCTTTTTATCTGTCTCACAGGTACACACAAATAGAATTATACATAGTGTAAATTACCTAGGATAACCTAAAAAATCCGAAGTGCTATTTATTTATTTATTTATTTATTTATTTATTTATTTAAAAATTTGAGCACACATACAGAGGTACAAAAAATACAGATAAGAGCAGCATGCCAAAGCCACTTATACTATGCATAGCATTACGGGCTGGCTTAAAATTAACTTAAGATGAACTAAGCAATGATGACATCAGTGATAAAACTTTAATGTAAACAGATTACTATAAAGCACAAGTGAGTATTACAAAGACAGGTCATATGGTTGTATGCATTGTTGTACATTCAGTAGAATGGAGTATTCTGTTAGGTAGTGTATTTAAAAAATAATAAAGTTAGATTGGGTTTTAGGTTTAACATTTATGTGATATAATTGTGAGAAACATTTAAGATATACAATTTATAAGGTTCAGTTATTCAGTATTTATTGGTTTTGGGTGAGTAATTTGATCTTTGAGAAGAGACTTGAATTTATAAACAGGTAGTGTTTTTTTTATATTTTACAGGTAATGAGTTCCAGTTTTTAGGGCCTTTTATGTGCATTGAGTTTTTTTGCTTTAGTGTGAGATGGACAGGGAGGAACATAAAAGAGTGATCTGTGCCTTGTGTTATGGTCATGTGTTCTGTTGAGGTTAGCAAGGGAGATATTTGAGGGGAGGGTTAATATCAGAGTTAAGTGTTCTATGTATGAAATAGGTGCAGAAAATAAGTATGAATGTTTTGTATGGTGAGTAGGTTTAGTGTATTGAATATTGGTGGAGTGTGCTGCCTATAGTGAGAATTTGTTATCATTCTAACTGCAGCCTTTTGTTGGGTAATTAGTGGTCTGAGATGGTTACTTGTTGTTGAGCCCCATGCAAAAATTCCATAGGTGAGTAGGGGTAAATAAGGGGTGATATAGGGCCAGGAGGGCTGACTGTGGAGCATAGTACCGTATCTTCGTTTAGTATCCCTACAGTCTTGGAAATTTTCTTAGAAATTTGTTGTATATGTGTATGAAATTTGAGTCTATTATCAAGGTGGATTCCTAAGAATTTTCCCTCTGTTAGCTTTGTGATAGGTGATCCGTTTATCATTATGTTAAGAGGGACATCTGTAGCTCTGTTACCAAACTGAAGAAGTAGGTTTTGTCTTTTGTTTAGTGTAAGTTTGTTAGTCCTCATCCAGGTAGATATTTTCTGTAATTCGGTATTTACAGTATTGGTAGGTGACTGGGCTCGGGGGGGGGAAAAGACGTATGTAGTGTCATCTGCAAATAGTGTGGGTTTGAGTAATTGCGAAGCATTTGGTAGGTCATTTTGTATAGGAGAAAGAAAAGAGGGCAAGGACACTTCCCTGGGGGAAACCAACTGTAATTGGTTGTGCAGAAGAGTTTGCCCCATTTGCATACACATATTGGCTTCTGTTGTGAGGTATGACTTGAGGTAGTTGAGGGAGTGCCCTCTTTTACCATAGTGTGACAATTTTACGTGGAGCAAGTCATGGTTAACTGTATAAAAAGCTTTACGTAAGTCAATGAAGATCCCCAGTGGGGACTTCTTTTTTCTCTATTGCAGTGTATATATGTTCTAGCATGTGTATAATAGCATCATTAGTATTTTTATTTGGCCTGAATCCAAATGGCAGGGGTTGAGTTTTTTTTGGGAGATAAGGTAGGAGTAGATTGTTTATAAATTTTAATTTTTCGAAGTTTTTGAGAGAGGGTGTAAGTTGGATATTGGCCTTAGTTATTCAACTCTTTTTGGGTCCCCTCCTTTGTGGATCGGGGTGCCCCTTGCTATTTTGAGTACTGTAGGGAAGGTGGAGGATTCAATGGATTTGTTAAAGAGTGTTGCAATGATTGGTGATAGCACTTGTGACACTTTTTTGTATATAAAGGGTGGTAAGGTATTTAAATCCCCTGCCTTGTTTTTTAGCGTGTTGATAATAAGGGAGATTTTCGTAGGGGGTTTAGTCGGAGTAGGAACAGTGTGTTCGGGTAGTTGCCGTGAGGTAGTCATTTGGTGGGGGTATTGAGCTTGGGATTTTATTGGCAAGGTTTTGCCCTATAGTGGAGAAGAAGTCTTTGAGTCTGTTTGCTGTTTCTGTTGGTGGGAGTTGGGGTTCATCTGATTTTGCTAATTTTATTTCGCTATTTCGTGATATCTTTTTTGTTCCTAAAATTTCTGATAGGGTTTTCCAGGTCTTTTTTATATCACCTCGTAAGTTGGATAATTGTTCTCATAATAAAATTTTTTTTGCCCTTCTTATCAGGCTGGTTAGGATTGACGAGTAACGTTTTGTTTGGTCTCTGGTTATGTGACCCATTTGTACTGTTTTTCATATTGGTGTTTTGTATTTATGGATTTGAGAATGTGGGTGTTAACCAGGGACTGTTCAGTCTCTTAGCTGTCATCTTTTTAGTTTTTTTAGGGCAGTGCTTGTTATAGAGGTATTGGGTCTTTTTTAGAAAATTATTAATACATTCGTCAATATCTGTATAGATTTCTAGCTCAGTGTCCCAGTCAATTTTTTGCTACTGCTGTTGTGAAGTTATTAATGGCTCCCTCATTGTGAAGTCTGAAGGTGACTTTAGTAGTGTCTTGGGGTAATTTACCAAGAGTTGTTATGAGAAAAAGTAGGGTAGTGGTCTGTGGTATTATCTGTAATTATGCCTGATTTTAAAGGGGATATGGGGGTTGGTCCAGATGTGGTCAAGTAGGGAACATAGTCTCTGTAACTCTTGTAGGTTTTGTTACTGTTGGTAGCAACATACAGTTACTCATTGTGTTTGTGAATTCAGTAACGTGTGGTCCTGGTCTTGCAGGAGATTTATATTGAAGTCACCTGAGAGTGTAAGTGATCTTTGTTCATGCGTGCATCAGTTATCTTTACTTCCTAGGTTTTGACTAAATTGGCTAATGTTTGACTGTGGAACTCTGTAAATGTTTATCAATGTGAGAGGTTTCTGTAGGTATTTGGTTTTTAAATTTGGCTTTATATATTCCCCATGTTCATCCCTTGTGCAAGTATTAGTGATACATTCTAGTTGGTCTGAGTAGTATATGGCTGTGCCACCCCCTTGTTGGTCTGGCCTACAGTTGTGTATGGCTGTGTAACCAGGAATGGCATAGAATCTGTACTATCAGGCTTTAGCCTGGTTTCAGTTAGTGTAATGATGGAATATTTGGCATGTAAGGAATTTAGTAATGCTATGAGGTCATCGTAATGCTTGCTTAAAGATCTGATATTGTAGTTAAAGATAGTTATGTTGTTGTTGGCACTGAGAAGTGCCTTTGATTGTTCTGCAGTGTAGTAATTACAGTAACTGTTTGATTCATTTAAGTCATAAATAAGAGGTTGGTATCAGGATCAATGCTTTTTAATCATAAGATTTGTAGTGAATCTATAGTTAGAATTAAGTATAAAACAAAAGTAAATAGTTTAAGCTAAAAAATAGCACCTGAATTATTTAACAAATGTAAAATAATGAGCTAAGGTAGTTTTTTTTTTTTTTTTTTTTTAAGCTAAATAAAGGAGACAATAAAAAAGGGACTAATACAAATAAAGTGATAATCAAATAATGGAGTTTGGGGAAATTATGATAGTAGGTAGTACTATAAGGTAATTCTTTAAAGTTAGAATTTTTAGTATAAAATAAAAATTTTAAAAAGGGACTAATGTAAGTTGTGGTGAACAATAAGTGGTAATCAAATAAATGAGCTTTGGAAAAATAATGGCAAAAATTGTGAACTTATTCTACTTTAGCACCTGAGAATAGCACCTTGATTTTTTAACAATTGTGAATGTATAAACTGGGTAGTTATATAAAGCTAAAATAAAGGAGAAAATATATAAGGGACTAAAATTAAGTAATGGTAAAGTTAAATGGACAGGTGG